CATTTCTATATTTGACGAGGAACCCTTGTCATCTGCCTTGCTAATCCATTGCGACGTTCTGGAAGAGAGCATCTTTGATGGATCCGTGTCTTTAAAAGGTTTCCCCACAAAGAAGGTACTTCCTTCGACATCATCCCCGTAGTCCGCAGCAGGAGTGTTATCCATTTCAGCTGAAAAACTTAGAATGTCTCTACCTTTTTTTGCTCTAAAAGAGAGAGCTCCATTCCAGTCTATTTTGTCTAGCCTGCCTTTCACGTTCATTTTTAGCTTCTGTAGGTCGTCATTTGAGTCTGTATCCTCGCCACTGTTGCTTGTCTTACCTAGATCCTCATTTTTTTCTTGATCTTCCTCCGCTTTGAATCTAGTTGGGTCAGCCTTGTCGTATGGGAATTCTATCTCATCGTCTTCGTAGCCTGGATTCTGAACACCTCCAGACTGTATGCTCGAGAGGGATCTGAAAACGATTGAATACAAGGTTGTGGTGAACATGACAATGACATAAGTAATACGATTGTGTCGGCGTCTCTGGCTTAGGTGTTGCGAACGCGCTTCGTAATGCCGGGTTCGATCTCTTCTGTGGACGATTTGATTTTGCGCTGCTTTTGACAGTGCAACCGAGCGCTGACCGTTCAGGGGCAATGGCAAACTACTGAACGTAAAATGTGCCTAGAAAAACCAAATAAAATCTGGGTTGGATATGCAACGTCCAGTAAAGGATACGCAACTAACTAATACGATTGTAAAGAGAATAAAGGAGATTTATCACGTCACCGGTGCATTAGAAAAATAGTGCCAGCAACATTTGTGTGTAAGCAAATCAGCATTGCCTATGTAATCTGATCTATATCCCACCGACCACCTTTATTTCCCACGTATGTTCTGTTTATTCGCCCACTACTTGACTTTAATCTTGTTGAAGAACTGTAGTTTTGCGTAGACTTCCATTTTATAGATCTGGAGTATTTGTAGAAAGACTGTTTGTTTCTTGCCTCTTTTGCAAATTATGTGAAGAAACAAACGCGAAGGTCCCTTTTCCACGCTCTTAAGTATATTGGCCAAATAGGTTTAGGGCTTTATTTTGATAGGTCGAATGGCACATGGTGGATGATGTGGTCAGCGACCCGCCGGTAGCCTTTACTTCCCATAACTGCATCTGGTACCCACTCAAGGCTGGGTCGACCTGGGAGTCAAGGTCATATCTGCACACACACAAATGTCCGGCTTCGTTAGGAAGCGAACCCACGACCTTCCGATCAGCAGGCGGGCGTCCAGCTGCTAACGCCACCGCGACTCCCATGCAAATGAAGTCTGGTAGTCTGGTAGTCTTAGTTTCAGCTTCACAGCAAACGGGTCACCCCATCTTTGCTCCGCTCCTGTGCCAACGAAAAACACACACAATGTTTATCACAGCATTATAATTGCAGTTCATCATTGATGGTAGCAGAAGTCGCCAACAGATTAGCAGTTGCCCACGCGATCAATTTTAATTACGTACAGGCACCACAACACTGCACGACAGGATACGCGCCATTTTCTGAATCTACAATTCACACCAACACGTTGGTCACAGTGGAAAAAACATTCAAAAAAACAAAAACAAAATGCAATCCGCAGCTCACAGGGTCACGCCATGCATTCAACCCAGAAGCTGGGCGACGAAACTATATCCAGTCTACAAATGGAGCAAAACTGCATCGGCCACCGTCCGGCAGAAGCAAAAAATTTGCCTCTGTTTCGAAAAGTGCCGCTGCCGAACGTCCATTTTGACCAGAAGTAATGAAGTAAATGAAGTATGCGAATGAAGTAAACATCCCTAGCCTTTTACGACATGCTTCTTGCGGGCAGTGGATCTATTCATTTTCACCCAAGATGGAGCAGCGTAAGCCACACAGGAAACAGGCTAGCACTAAATTGATGTTTGATTTGGCTTTTATCTGTAATAACAATTGGTAATGTTCTTATCAATTAAAGAAAAATAAAATAGCATTTTTAGTGGATGTCTGCTCTGGCATTTGTATTCTGTTAATCTCTGGCTCTTGTACCATGTTAATCTCCGGCACTTGTACCATGTTAATCTCTGACACTTGTACCATGTTAATCTCTGGCACTTGTACCATGTTAATCTCTGGCACTTGTACCATGTTAATCTCTGACACTTGTACCATGTTAATCTCTGGCACTTGTACCATGTTAATCTCTGGCACTTGTACCATGTTAATCTCTGGCACTTGTACCATGTTAATCTCTGGCACTTGTACCATGTTAATCTCTGACATTTGTACCCTGTTAATCTCTTGAATTTTTACTCTTTTAATCTCTGGCACTTGTACCATGTGAATCTCTGGAATTTTTACTCTGTTAATCTCTAGAATTTTTACTCTGTTAATCTCTGGCACTTGTACCATGTTAATCTCTGGAATTTTTACTCTGTTAATATCTAGAATTTTTACTCTGTTACTCTCTGGCACTTGTACCATGTTAATCTCTGGAATTTTTACTCTGTTAATCTCTAGAATTTTTACTCTGTTAATCTCTGGCACTTGTACCATGTTAATCTCTGGAATTTTTTACTTTATTAACTCTAGAATTTTTACTCTGTTAATCGCTGGCATCTGATTTTCTGTTTTTCGCTGGCATTTGTATTTTCTGTTAATCTCTGACATCTTTATTCTGTTAATCTTTGACATTTTTATTCTTTTAATCTCTAACATTTATATTCTTTTAATCTCTAACATTTATATTCTTTTAATCTCTGACATTTATATTCTTTTAATCTCTGACATTTATATTCTGTTAATGTCTGGTGTTTGTTAACCTCTGGCACGTGGTAATCTCTGGCATTTTTTATCACTGGCATTTGTGTTCTGTTAATCTCTGACATCTGATAATCTATGGCATTTGTATTATGTTAATCCCTTGTATTTGTATTTTATTAATCTCTGACATTTTTACTCTGTTAATATCTTACACATTTTTGTGTTATTCTCTGACATATGCATTCTATTAATCTCGGGTATTTGTGTTCTGTTAGTATTCAGCATTTGTAATGTGATAATCTCTGACATTGGTACTCTGTTAATCTTTTACATATTTTTGGTGTTAATCTCTGACATTTGTATTTTGCTAATCTCTGACATTTTTATTATGTTAATCTCCGAAATTTGTATTCTGTTAATCAGGTATTTCTAATAATGAATCCGATGTGTGTGTGTGTGTGTATGTATGTGTGTGTGTGTGTGGTTGTGTGTGTGTGTGTGTGTGTGTGTGTGTGTGTGTGTGCTTGCATTTCTATTATTGCCTAGCATTTAATCTTCAGTCTCGTCATATCTCCATTTTGTTTTCTCCGTTGTCGAGACTGCTGTCTAACAAACTAACTACTTGTGACCAGCATTTAATCTTTAATCTCATCATATCTTCATATTGTTTTCCCCGTTGCCGAGACTACTGTCTGAAGGACTAACTTCTTGTGACCAGCATTTAATCTTCAATCTCATCATATCTTCAAACTGTTGTCCACTTTGCCGAGACTGCTGTCTGACGGACTAACTACTTGTGACCAGCATTTAATCTTCAATCTCATCATATCTTCATATTGTTTTCCACTTTGCCGAGACTGCTGTCTGACGGACTAACTACTTGTGACCAGCATTTAATCTTCAATCTCATCATTTCTTCATATTGTTGTCCCCTTTGCCGAGACTGCTGTCTGACGGACTTACTACTTGTGACCCAAAAGCCACTGTTCGGATCACAATCAAACAAGAGTTGATATCTGGGAAAATCCGATCAGCAGTTTAGCACAGTTTTTTAGGGCTCTTGAAGCGACGAGAAATAGGAAACGTTTAGTCTAGTTTGGTTGGGTTGTTTAGTCATGAATTGGCTTCTTTTCAATTATATCCCTAGTTTTGATACCACCTCCCCACCACCACCCCCAGATCTTGGGGTGGGGGGGGGGGGTGTATACAGTACCAAACGCCTCTACCCCATATTTTCTTTTTGTCGGCGTATCTGCTTCAAATGTATCGCTTGGATGACTACCGAAGATGAGAGAACACTTCTCAGTTCTCCCAGAATCGAATGGCGTAGTTTCTATTTTTTAAATAAAACCAATAAAGTGTTTTTTGTAGCTCTGCACGCATGCAAGTTAATCTCACCACTCAAGATGATAAAAGAATTCAAATTGCAAACTCTGACGTGCAGTACTGTACACAATAGCAGAGATTAACATGTGTGAGGTATCTTAATTTTCTTGTACCAACAAATAAAATCGTTTGATTTATATCCTACAGTCCCTTGAAGCCGAACACGTTTTAAATATACGTGTCGACAGAATCGTTAAACAGATATATAAATAATGTTGTCTTCCCTGCTGTTTCCTTTTATCCTGGGTGTGTGTTAATTTCTTTGTTTATTGGTGCAGTCACTAGAAGATATTTAGGACGCAGTATTTGTCGCCCACATACTAGGATGTCAAGAAAGCCCCAAAGAGCTGGTAGGTCGTAACTGACGACTCTGGCAAACAACGAAAGACGTGACAAATGACATGGCGGTAAAATTATGTTTCAAGAAAACTTTCTGGCAAGAATATTTTTAGACTGCTTGAAGAGAAGATGAGGGTAAATAGACTTTTAGTCCATGGACAAGTGGATTTTGGGTTAAAGTAACGTTAATCTCCCCAAACAGAGTCGGTCACTTTTCATTTACAAGTTTGTTGGGTTGGTCGACTTTCCTGAAGGTGACGGGTGTGTCCCGCTCTGTTGTTTTCTTTCTGTGTTGTCTTGCATTTACATTTCATTCCGAGAAAGAAAATGCCTGTGGCATATGATGCAGCACTCTCCAGGGGGTTTTGTGTTAGGGCCATTTTCTTTGGAGTGTTAAAAGCGCTGGTGTGCTGAAATATACAACCGTAACCTTGTGCCAAGGCGACAGGCTCAGGATCTACCAATCACAAGTGAGCTAGTTACGTGTACCGACTTTTGTGTATGTTTGAAAGTTTGTTG